AAAAATAAGCTAAGACATTTTTAGTTCCAGATATAGGTTTAAACAGTAAAATCATAATAACAAAAGAAAGATTGACAATATCTTCTTCTTTTTAATTCTGGTAATGAATCTATTTTATTCATAATAAAGGCTCTTACTTGAGTATTATCTGTTCTTACTACAAATTTTACAGGTAATAAATGATAATGAAATCTTTTTATTCTTAATTTCACCGCTAATACTTCTTTTTCATTTATATGATAATTTTGTTCATTAGGCTTCCATGTTCCTGATCCATATCCTCACATTAAATATTTACCAACACTTAGAAAACCCTTACAAAGTTTAATTAAAAAAATCTAATATATTTGACTGGAAAGAAGAACATACTAATGCAATTAAAACAATAAAGAAAAGAGTATAATCTTTACCAAAATTAAGGTTACCAGAAAAAGATGATCAATTAGAATTATATACAGATGCTATTGATATAGGATGGGGAGCAGTATTAGTAGCTTATACTAAAGAAAATGTGAAAATATTTGATGTTTGGCATCTTACCTTTCCACAATTCATACAGAGTTTGACTTTATCATGGTCGAAGATAGACTCGATTTATGATATGACACGCAGTGTTTACAGCTTCTGCCTAGAACTTTTGGGGTAATCCTTTAGCATTAAGTAGTACTCGGCCTATTTCTTGATAGTGCGGTTTTTTCTTTCAACGACTCCATTTTATTGAGGATTCTTTGGTGCTGAATACTCGTGAGTGATTCCGTGTTGGTTACAAAATTCTTCAAACAAGTTGTTGTCGAATTCTCGCCCATTATCACTTCGAATACGAAATTGGTTCGTTTTTCTCATTTTGCAACTTTAGTCCCAAGGTTTTGAACGCTCCAAGAGCTTCAGATTTTTCCCTGAGAAATATTACCCAAGAAAAACCTGAAAAATCATCGACACATACCAAAATGGGTATCTCTTACCTCCAAAGCTTTCTGTCTGAGTTGGACCGATAAGATCCATGTGGATCAGTTCCAGGCAGTAACTTGTGTTGATGGTCTGTTGAGCTGGGTGAGATGTTTTGGTCTGTTTTCCAGCTTGACACGCACTGCATATGCCAGATGAGTTAATTTTGATCTTGGGTAGACCACGAACAACTTTTGTCTTTATTAATTTATCAAGAAGTCTATAACTTTGGTGTCCTAATTTTTGATGCCATAACTCAGACTCATTTATATTGGACCTGCAACAAAGAATATCATTTGTTAGAATATAGCAATTTTCTGTTGACCGCTTACCTTCCATAACACATTGGTTTTCTTTATCCATAACACTGCAGCTGGTTTTTGTAAAGCATATGTTCCAGTTTTGATCACAAAGTTAGCTGATACTTATAAAATTAGCATGAAGACCATTTACTAGCAGCACTTTCTTTAGCTTGGATAGTCCAACCACGTTTAGAGTGCCTACTCCAGTGACTTGGCCTTTAACACCATCACCAAAAGTTACTCCACATTTGCTTGCATTAACGTCACTTAGAAACTTTGCGTTTCCCGTCATGTGACGTGAACACCCGCGGTCAAAGTACCACTTTTCTTCTCTCCCTGCACTTTTAGAGTGAAACGAGACAAAACAGATACAATCAATTTTCTTAACCCAAATTTGTTTAGTGAAGGGCTTGATGTTCTTGTGTCTGAATTTTTTAATCCTTTGATCCTTGTAAAAGTAGTAACATTCGGGTCTGATGTGACCACACAACCTGCAATAATGACAAACTGGGTTATAGAGTTGAAAGGAATGTTTATTTCACCGTACTATACCATTGTTTTGTCCTGCCGAGCTAGTATAGATTCAGGAATATCTTCTGGATCTAGTCCTGATGCTTTGACAAAGACTGTTTTTTTCTTTTGAAGCACCCCCAGTGAAGCCTAGACCAAATTTCACAGAATATTTTCTTCCTGAATCAAGTATCTGGTCAAGTGTTGAGGTAGTGTCCATCATTTGGATTTGTTTTCTAAAGGCGTTCAGCTCCTGCTTTAGTGTATGTACTTCCTGTTTTAGTTTCTCTTCTCGGTCAGAAGCTGCTTTAAGCAGTAAATCCCTATCAGCTACTTGATTCTGGTACACTTTACTAGCATTTGTTAATATCCCTACTTCACTAGTCAAGATACAATTTGCTTTACGTAGGGCTTCCCACTTGGGGTACAATTTGTTAAACTCTACTTCATAAGACAAAGCAGTTAAATCTAAATCTTCAGCTGAGCGATAGTCGCCTCTCTCTGAATCAGCTATGTCTTCAAGTCCTGAACTCGGTGCAACACGGGTAGTGAATGCTACAAAGTTATCAGATATCTCCACTGCATCAGACACAACTGCGTCTGACTCAGGTTCATCGTCACTCCAGGTAATAGCTGACATAGATTTCTTGCGCCTTAGATAAGTGGGACATTCAGCTTGGACGTGACCAAAACATTCACACTTATAACATCTAATCCCATTGTTGTTGGATTTGTCTTTAGAATGCACTCGACGAGAGACAGAAGGCTTGTAATTTGATGAGCCAGACCTGGGGCCAGTTTTTGATGCATTTGATGTTGACCCTTTTTGAAATTTTTTGTTGCGGGAATTCTTTTGTGAGACCTCTTTCAAGATTTTAGAGAATTATTTAGTTAAAAAAACAACTGGATCATCACCTGGTTCACCTAAATCAGAGGCAACATTGTTTTCTTCAATAGCAAAAGCTACAGTTTTTTGTTTTGTTTTGTTTTTTGTTTTTTTTTTTCTTTTTTGTATGATCGGTTAGAATTTTCATTTCATAAGTTTGAAGGTTTCCCATTAATTGAGTAACAGTCTTTTTTTCCCAACTGTCATGTTCCTGAATGGCCGTGACCTTCATTCTGAATCTTGACGGTAGAGATCTCAGAATTTTCTTAACCAGTTTTGGTTGAGAAAACGACTCACCGAGGACCATTGCACAATTCGCCAATTCTTGCACATGACTATGAAAGCTCGTGACGGTTTCAACTTCATTCATCCGGAGTTCTTCAAAGTCAGACTCTACCAGTTACAGCTTGATTGTTTGACCAAATTCGTACATTTGTAGGTCAACTCAAGAGCTTCCCATGCACCTTTTACTGAATCAAAACCTGCAACTAAGGGAAATTGACTTTCATGTATCAAGGAGTAAATAGTATCAAGTGCTTTATCATTATTTCCCGTATTAGTTATTTCGATTTGGGACCATTTGGTTTCAGGTTTTGCCACTTGTGGACCGTCAGCGCTAGTCCCGGCTTTAGTCGGATGTGTCCAACTTGTTAGGACAAAACGCCAAACAAGTTCTCCTTGAGCTTTCAGGTGAGTTCATGTACGTGCTTTCCAATAAGTATAGTTGTCGCCTGCTAACTGAGGAAGAACCTTAAGACGTCCATCATGAAACACTCAACACACAGTGAGATTGAACAAAGCAATAAAATAGACAAAAGCACTAAAAACCGCTGAAAACTTGAGTTCAAAAAGCACGGGATAGCCAGATCGATAGAGTAATAATTTAAGTCTCCGAGCTTTGATACTAATTAAAATTGTACCGTGAATCCTGAATGCAAGAAATAACTTAAGTTTCTACTTGATTTTAATTTAGAGATTTACTGTACCAATTAATTAGTCCATTTAACGGAAGTAATAGCCATCCACTTATTTTGCAATAAATCACCACCACACCAATTACACTCATCTTCATAGCAATAAACCACCACCACACAAAATATATTGATCTCATAGTAATAACTTTGACCCATTGAACAAGCGGATTCCTCCTCCAAAATATACGTACGTTGGTTTCGTACATAACCCATGTGACAGTAGAAGATTTATCATATGATAGGTGACAGTCCAAGGCTTCAATCTACCTAGAATCTAATTTATTTGTCTAAACAAATTCTAATTTAAATTGTCACATAAATTGTCAATAAATGAAAGGATTAATGTGTACAGTTTTGTACACTTACATTTTCTATGGTGAAAGTTAGGCTAGCACGTACGTTTACTCCTCAAAGATTTTGTTTTTTTGTTGGATGGTGCATGAACCCTAATTTTTAAGGAAACGACTAAAAGGCCAGAATATAATGCATATCTTTTCATTGCATAGTTTATTTCTTGTGCATGTGTTTACGGGCTATTATGCATTTATGCAACTATACATAGATACGATTTTCATAGTATATACTCTTACGTAGTAGCTGTGAATTGAATTTTCATCCAAAAAAAATATTCTAATTAAACATTAAAGATGTATAGCCAAAACACACATTCATAACAATAGATAGTGGTGAATTGGGTTTTTCTTTCTAATATTTTTTTTCTCAATGCTTTTAAGGTTAACTGATATTTGAAATTTCAAAAATATTTTAAAAAATCAAGTCAGTAACTTCAAACTTTTTAGTGATCTTGTTTAATTAAATATGGATTTAGTGATTCTCATAGTGTCTACGATCGGCAAAAGTCGAAGTCTCTGTAGGAGCTCATCAAAATCTACAAACCAAGGGGATTTTGCGCTAATAAAATTGACACATTCTCCCGCTCAAAAATTTTGGGATTTTTTTCCCTTTTCAATTTTTTTTTTTTTTATTAAAAGTTAATGCCTTTAAAAGTTACAGATTTTCAATGAGTGTAATATTAGCTGTAGAGATTTTGCTTCACAATGACATTGTCAGGTAATTAATTAGTTACACTTACCAATGTGTTTACATTTACAAATTACAATAAAAACAAGCATGTTAAAGAATAATGGTTACAATTTTTGAATTTAAATTTTGGTGGGAAATATTCTATAAATACTACATGCCGTGCAGTGCAATCTCACATTTACATTGAAACCAAAGAAGCTAAGGAGAGAAACAATAAGGAAACAAGAGGTATTAACTCATTAGTTCCCCTTTATATCATTTTAAAGTTCTATTTCATGAAGAATTGCATTTAGTGTAAACATTTTAGAGGATGCACTTCTTCCATTTTTTATATGAAAAATATCCTATAAATACTATATGCCCAACAGTGAAATCCCACATTTACATTGAAGCCAAGGAAGCCAAGGAAGCCAAGGAGAGAAAAATTAAGAAACAAAATGTATTAACTCATAAGTTCCCTTTATATCATTTTAAAGCTCTCTTTCAACAGCATACCAAGCACTACCCCTGCCATAGACACCTGAAATCATGAAGAGCATATTATTATGATAATAAAAGCAATAAAACTCAAACACGAGTAAGTGTATGCCTCTAGCATTTATAGAAATCAAATTTTATAAAATATTTAATGCATAAAAAACAATCCCTACGGTTCTTGTCAATGAACCTACGGTTTTCGAACAATGTATCTACGCAAGGGTCGTAGTGTTTTTTTAAACATGTAGAATAGGGTACTCAATAAATACACAGAGTGGCTCAAATCATGAATGGCCGTCCAACATCATATCGCCTAAAGTAAAGACATAATCGAGTCAAGATTGAACAATAAAAGTTTGCAAAACAAATTTGATATAAAATTTAAAAACTTTTGTTCTAGTTTCATGCAATTTTATTTCTAAACTCAGAATTTAACTCAACTTAAATTTTGAAACTATTCAAACTTGAGTTTGATGGTGTACGTATTTCAATAACCGGAAAGCAGTGTCAAGACCTCAATTGCAGGTGACCTAAACCGTTATCATACCTTAGAGCATCTATATCAATTGGTTTTTGCACAATAATTAAGAAGCCAAGTAAGAGAGAGAAGAAGGAAAAAAAAAAGGAAAAAAAAAGCATTCAGACACAAGAAATGCCTTCTCTTTCTCTCTCATTGGAATCCACAAAAAACCTTACCTTGCAGGAGATCAAAATGCATTCTCTCTCATTTTTCTCTATCATCCACCTCACCTTGGGCCCTACAAAAAATCAAGAAAAAACTACTAAAATGTGGATGCTCTTAGTACTTTACCCTAATTAATCATACAAAGATAAAAAAAAAATTGCATGTTGGTTAATTCCATTATGTTATGTATAATTAATCACAAATTGCAGACGCTAACACGAAATTTTTCCACAGGTATGCCTCTCACCGAAAGAAAAAAAACTCATTATCTAGATTAATGAATAGTAATGGGGATTGGGTGGAGGGAAGTGCCATGACAGCAGTTATTCAAAATTATTTTAATGTGATATTCCAATCTAATATGCCGGAAGATGGGAATCACTATTACAAAAAAGGGCTTTAACGTCAGTTTTTTGACCCCATTTAACGTCGGTTTTCGACCGACGTCTAAGTAGCAGACGTCGTAAATAGTGAGATACGACGTCGGTTGAAATAACCGACGTCGTAAATATTTTAAAATTATTTTTAATTAAGAAACGACGTCGATTTTAAATAAAACCGACGTCGTATATTTAAAAACAAAAAAAAACAAAATAAATTCACATAAGACGTCGGTTTTTTTTTAAAAAAACCGTCGTCTTATGTTAACTTTAAAAATAAAAAAGAAAAATAAACAACGTCGGTTATTTATAAATAACCGACGTCATTTATTTTTTTAATTTTTTTAACAATTTTCCACCCAATTAATCCTGTACACCTTTTACGATTTACAACAATTTTCTTAACTTGTCAAGCAGTTTGATATTCAAAATCTCACAATGAATCAAAACTAATAAAACTTATAATTAATTCAAAAGCAACTCATACCATCAACTAAACAAGTTAAATTTATGATAATTCTACAATTGATAATAATAATAATAATTTCAAACTTAAATGAGAAAATTTCAATTTTGATCACATGACTATAGGGGTATTGTTAATTTCAGCACCTGACTTTCAAAAGTGTCAATTTAGTACCTTGACTATGTAATATTTGTCAATTTTGGTCATTCCGGCTGAATTGACGGTCAAATTTGACTGGAAAAAATTAATCAAACATTTAGTCTATAATCTGAGGGGCAAAATCGTCTTTTGATCCTTTATAGACTAAATGTTGGATTAAATTTTTTTGGCCAAATTTGACCATCAATTTGGCCGGAGTGACCAAAATTGACAAAAATTACATAGTCAAGGTACTAAATTGACACTTTTAAAAGTCATGTGTTAAAATTAACAATGCCCCTATAGTCATGTGACCAAAATTAAAATTTTCTCAAACTTAAATTATCAACATCAACTAAACTTCAAGAATTGCTTTAACCATTCTTTGGGATCTTTTGAAATCAATGATGATGATTTCAAACTTAAATTCTACACAAGTTAAAATTTATTTTAAATGCTTCCAAAATATGTTAAACAGGGTCTCTCATTCTTTGGGATCTTTTAGAAACAAATAGAAGACATTTCAAAGAGTAGAGAAGCAAATATAAGAGGCCAGGTTTGCTTCAAGAGGTTTTAGATATCCTTTTTTTTTCAGCAGTAATATTCATCCAGTCATTGTAGACCTTTTCATTGGATCGTTCCTTGTTTACACTAGAATGACTTGTCAAATGAAATAACAAGAGTAATTTGCATTACCACTCAAGAAAAGTATTTTACCCCTCTCATAGCAAAGAATAGCTTTGGCATTCTCTAAGGTAAACCTTTCCATGGGACTGCAATAGCTTCCTGTGGAAAATAAACAAGCAATTGCCATATGAATAGAAAACCAACAACTCTGAAGAATCATACTTCCACCTAGTGGTACAATATAAAAGCAAAGGTTAAAGAAAAGAGTGTTAATTAAACCTTCAGAAAGTGATACCTCAAAACTTGGATAGTTCAGTTGACAACTAGGTCAAAGGGGATATAATAAAAAGAGATAAGCTCATTTCTAACCTTAGAATAGGTGTAGCTCTGCAAATCAATGAAAATCTCACCACAAGAATCTCTAACATCCACGGCGTAAAAAGCAATGCGCTTTGACAACTGTACTTTCGACACTTTGCATTTACAGATTTCTGTGGAGAAATTGCAGAAAGAATATGAAAATCATTTTTAAAAAGTGACAGAATTTCATATTCAATGGGTAAATGCAAATGTATAAAGAATACCTTAGTTGAAAGAGAGCAGTGTGGCTGACATAAGAACTACATATTAAATTATGGAAAGACAACTGACTAATAACTCTTAAATTTTTAGAATGTAATATAAGAACTCACATCACATATTTACCTCTTTCTATACATGCACATTCTTCTCATTCTCTAGTTGCTTAATCTTCTCTTCATAAATAGCCTGCAGATACAAAACGTTACAAATTGCTTCACAAAAGTATGGAATATCTAAAAAGGAACTATAGAATCATTATATAGATAATAAAGAAACAGTTAAGAGGAAGAAGGCATTACCTTTACCTCTCTGCCCACCCAGTACTGTTTATCACCTTCAGATAAATAAAGTTGGCTGTAAAAGCAAGAGCATAAGAAATTATTAAACAGCAACTAGTGCAATGTGCCATTAACTCATAAAGTAGAAGGAAAAAAAATCCAACTTGAATTGATTCCATGAATTCAAATCCTAAACCTACATGATTGGTAGATAGATGTCTATTTGGATCCCTGTCTATTTTTGTTGCATCATTATTCTGCATCTCTCCAGTGTCTGTAGTATCCTCTTGTGATTCAGAAACATGGTTCTGATCATGAGGAGCCATTTGTCCAGCACCACTCGAGACATTCTCTGTGGTTCTATTCTACTTATTCTTCTTTTTCTTATTTTTCCTCTTCTTCTTCTCTTCTTCCATTATAGGACACTAGGACTTCAAAATGAGGACTTGGCAAGCTCTACAATAACAAGGACAACCTGCTAAGAACTTAGAGTCATCAAAAAGCAACAACAGCATCAGACTTATCAAAGAAATCAGCATCAGAGGTAAATTATAATTATTCAACTTCCTCATCTATATTTTAACTTTATCAATTACAATTATTCAACTTTCTCCATTTTCCTCACATGGCACCAAAAACCTACACTCCAGGCTGATTAATATCACGAGAAAAATCCATCCGCACAAAAATTCATATCAATCTCCTTGCCAATTGCAAACACCGGTAAATTAAAGCAAGCTCACGAAGGAAAATAAAAAACACATTAATTCATAACATTCACAATAACACATAAAATTCAAAATATAAACACAATAACATTCACAAATATAAAATTTCGAAATATATATAATAATAATTTAAAAAATTCAAAATATAACAACAAATTCGAAATAAAATTATAAATTTCAAAAAATATATAAGAAAAATTCAAAATATAAAATAAAAATATATATTACGTACCGTAGCGTCCGGCGACCAGGTGCGGCGAGGCGACGTCCGTTGAAGTTTTTGCTGCGACGTGACGCGACGGCTGGGGGCGGATGGCGACGACGAAGTCAAAAGGGGCGACGGCTGGCGACGACGAAGTCAAAAGGGGCGACGGTTGGCGACGACGGTGGCGACGAGAAGGAGGGGCTGGAGCAGTGGCAACATCGGCGGTGTGGTGCGTTGAAGAAGAAGAGAAATTATTTTGTTCGAATAGGCTTATATCTAGGGCTAAATTAAAAATACGACGTCGGGTATAAAGGAGCCGACGTCATATACTTAATAATTTATTTATTTTTTTAAAAAAAAAATAAAAGTTACGGCATCGGTATTCTATAAGATCGACGCCATAACCTTAATAAAAATTTAAAAAAAAAAATAAAAACTGAATACTATACGACGTCGGCTAGTTAATTAGCCGACGTCGTATAGTATATTTATTTTTATTTTTTTATTTTAAATACATACAACGTCGGTTATCTCAAAAATCCGACTTTGTATGTATTTAAAAAAATTAAAAATTATTTTAAATTTTTAACGTCGGTTTACCGACGTTAAATTGACGACGTTATAAGTGTTTTCTGTAGTAGTAAATGGATTTTTTGAGAATATTACTCCACGGGTAACGCATGCTCACAATGCATGAGTCTCTGCTTCGTCCATTTGTATTAGAGGAAGTCAAGGAGGCTTTATTTTCGATGTTCCCTGATAAAGCACCGGGCCCGGATGGAATGAATTCGGGTTTTTATCAGCATTTCTGGGATGTAGTAGGAGGAGATGTTTCTAATTTTGTTATAGGATGTCTGGAAACTCGTGTGATGCCCCCTCATTTGAATGATACTGATATTGTCCTTATCCCTGAGAAGGATACTCCTGAGCTAGTTTCAGATCTAAGGCCCATAGCCTTGAGTAATGTGGTGTATAGGTTCATGGCCAAGATGATTACGAATAGCATGAAGCCGATGATGAATGATATTATTTCGGACTCACAGAGTGCCTTTATACCAGATAGGCTGATAACTGATAACATTCTAATAGAGGCTGAGGTAGGGCATTTTTTGAACAGAAAATCATGTGGTACTGTAGGATGGGGAGCTCTCAAGTTGGATATGGCAAAGGCTTATCGTATGAAATGGTCCTTTTTGCGTGGCATGTTACTGGCTCTGGGTTTTGATAATAAATGGGTGGAGTTGATATGTATCCTACAGAATCTTAATAAATGGCAATCGCAGTGGACAGGTTGTACCCACAAGTGGCCTGAGGCAAGGTGACCCCTTATCTCCCTATCTATTTATTATTTGTGCAGAAGGCTTGTCGTTATTATTGCAGCAGGCACAGAATACTGGTTCCATACATGGCTGTAGAGTGGCAAAGGGGTGCCCCCTATTACCCATTTATTTTTTGCGGATGACAGTCTTTTGTTCTTCAAGGCTAATACACAGGAAGCTGGAGAAATAAAGAATTGTTTATCACGATATGAGAGTTTATCTGGACAAATGGTTAATTGCCAGAAATCCAGTATATGTTATAGCAAGAATACATGTGAAACTGATAGGGTGGCCGTAGCACAGCTGTTGGGAGTGGAACAGGCGCCAAATTTTGGAAGTATTTGGGACTCCCCTCTTTTATTGGGAGAAATAAAAGGGCAGTTTTTGCTTATATTGAAGATAAAATCAGACAAAGAATAGGCTCATGGAATAAGAAGTTGCTTTCGCAGGCCGGAAAGGAGATCTTATTGAAAAGTGTGGCACAATCTATTCCTACCTTCTCAATGAGTGTGTTTCTATTGCCTATTTCGGTCTGTTCGGCTATTGAACGTACGATGAATAAATATTGGTGGGGTAGTGGAGGTGAGCGAAATATACACTGGAAAGCATGGGATAGATTATGTATTCCAAAAAAGTATGGGGGTTTGGGTTTCAAAGATTTGAGAGCCTTCAATATAGCAATGTTGGGAAAGCAGACATGACGCTTTCTCACAAAACCAGACTCATTGGTAGCAAGAGTATACAAAGCCAGATATTATCCCAAGGATACTTTTATGGAAGCATCTTTAGGAAATAATCCTAGCTATTGTTGGAGGAGTATTATGGCAGCAAAAGATTTGGTTAGTTCTGGAGTCAGGCGCAGAATTGGAAATGGGCAGGCAACACTTATATGGGATCATCCATGGCTACAGGATGAGCATGATCCAATGATACACACTGAAATGCCCCCACAGTTAGCAGGTGCAAAGGTGGTAGGTTTAATTGATCAGGACACAGGACAATGGGATCATTCAATTCTAACAGATATTTTCGAACCAACTTATGTAACCCGTATTTTAAAAATATCTGTCTCACCAAACTATGAGGACGATTAGTATTGGCATGCAGACACAAGAGGATGTTACTCTGTTAAGAATGGATATATTGTTGGAAACATGTCCCAACCCAGGGCACTTTTGATAAATGGAACACATTATGGAGTCTCAAAATTCCCCCAAAATGGAAGACATTTTTATGGAGAGCTTTGAGTGATACATTGCCTACCACTACCAATCTGAATATAAAGAGAGTAGAGATTGATCTGACATGCGCAATGTGTGGTGTTACTCATGAGGATACTATGCATGCTTTAGTAACATGTGCTTTTGCAAGATCCATATGGCATGGATCCCACCTTCCAATCCCCATAATTAACACAAATATTTTTCATTCTTGGTTTGATGAAGTGATGAATATTTTAGATATTAATGGAATTATGTTCACAACAGTGATTCTATATTATATCTGGAAGGCCATGAATGGAGCGGTCTGGGATGCCTATTTACCCACCCCAAGAAGACTAGTAATCTCGGCCAACAATGGACTCAAAGCTTGGCAGTTGACTCATCCGATGGGAAGCATGCATGCAGCCGTACCACCGCAGTCTCACGAACAGCAACTCCAAGGCAGCAGTACGGATGTGCTGCAAAATCCAGTCCGAGAATGTCTCTTCGATGCAGCATATTACCCCACAACAAACAAGGCTTCAGTTGGAGCAATAGTACGCGACAACAATGTAAACTATGTTACAGCTTTTAGTACAATTTTGCCGAACTGTTTCTCACCATTAATGGCGGAAGCATATGCATGCAAAGAGATTTTGTCCTGGCTCAGGGATCGTGGAGATCGACACATACGCATCTACACGGATTGTCTGACACTGAAGAATTATTTGTCGTCCATCAGCGGACCAGTTCGTTCTTACGTTGGTTATGCCATAGATAGTTGCAGGTCTATTTTTACTTCGTTTGATTTATGTTCTATTAGTTTCGTACCTAGATCAGATAATTTTGTAGCTCATACTTTAGCATCTTTAGCTTTCGATCATTCTACTGCTATGTATTGGGATGGTGTCCCGCCAGACACTATTTCAGCATATCTCTAATATAAACCGTCTCGGTTATTTTCAAAAAAAAAAAAATCACAAATTAACCTGTGAGTGTGGTTGAGTGAAAGAGACTCATTTATCATTAACCAAAAGTTAAGGGTTCGATCTTTGATTTTGGGATGGAGCAACCTTAAATATTTAGGCCAGTTATCCCACCTAAAAGAGGTGCCTACAATTCAACAAGTGGAGGATACACCAAAAAAAAAAAAAATGCCTAAACTTATATTCTAAGAAAAGTTGGTCATACAAGGGCTCATTAAAAATTAACTCTTTAAACATAGTAGGTTTCTAAAGGAACTATTAACACATTAGTTATATTCAAAAAAAAAAAAAAAAAAAAAAAAAAAAGTAACACATTAGTTATAAAACGAGTTTATTTTCCAAGAAACTTTCCTCACATTATGCGTTCTCATATTTATAGCATAAATATTTGTGAAATTTATCCAAAACTTAAAGTTCACGGTTTGAGAAGGGCCTTTAAAATTGAATGAACATTTTTATTAGTCTTAATGTATAAATTTCAGGCACTACGGAAAATGTAATGTGCATAAAATTCAATATACGATTGAATTTTAAAAATTCTTAAAATATACCTTTCTAAAGACATAAAATATATCAAAACAAGGGAAAATGACACTTTTTCTCCTTGTGTTGTTTATTAATAGCACATTTTTCTCATATGTTGTTTGTGTAACAACTTTATCCCCCCAATTGTTTTTGAAGTGGCTATTTCCCCCCTCCCCCCCCCCCCCCCCCCCCCCCCTTTCCGTTAAATAAGTGTTAGGGATGTTAAATATGAGGGTAAAAATGACATTTCACTTATAATTATAATAATAATAATCTATCAATATAATAAAGCAGTAACTTTCTACTAAACACACTTTCCCGCCCATACGATACTGCGTCGTTTTGAGAAGTCAGAATAAAGCTTCGAATTTATTGTCTTCAATCAACGGTTGGCTTTCCAATGTGCATTATACGGCTAATATGTTATGATACCAATGTAATTAAATAGACTTCTGATTATGTAAGACTTCTAATGATAACCTAAATGTAATCTATTTCCAAGACTTCATATATCTATTTACATATATACACCTAAAGACATTCAGATATACACATACATATTGAACAACGTATTTAAAAAAAATGCTTCGAAATAATCAGCATGATGATTCTGATTTCTTTCTTGGAAACTCAAAGGTTTCCATCACTATTCCGGCTGCAAGTAATGCTATCTTCAAATTTCGAATTCCACTTCTTGAGCCTATATAAACCTCTGTGTCAATATTTTTTTACCCACCATTGTTCCATCTCTTCAGTTACATCTCTTCATTAGCAGTCAACAATATTCAAAATCCCTGCAAATTTAACCATGCCAAGTCAGTATGTTTTGGTTAAAGATATTGTCCCTCTTGATAGAGAGAGGGCCATACGAGTTAGGTGTGTTAGAGTTTATGAAATACCGGAAAGGAGAGGCTCGAAAGAGATGAAGAGTAGAGAGGTTCTGGTATGCGATCAAGAGGTAAGCACAATTTTTTTCACTGTTAAATTTTCCTGTCTTTCATTCCACAGTATAAAATCTGTTCACTAATCTATCATGCAGGGAACTTTTATTCATGTAAACATGCAAAACTCGGATGTAGACAAGTACAAGAATGTCTTCAAGGAAGGGAAGCTCTATTCTATAAAAAAAAAATTTGGTGTTCAGCCAGTACTATATGTATAGGACTTGTGATCATCAGTATATGATAAGGTTGAACTACGATACTCAGGTCAA